GACGCTGGAGAGCACCGCTTTGCACTTTTCACAGTCCCTCAGGCTGTGAGATGCAGCACAAAGGCAGATTCCTTCTATCTCCATCTTGTTAGGTACTTCCAGAGATCTAGTTAAGGCACCGAATCGCCTGCCAGCTCCTCTGCGGTTAATGGAAAACGCTAAGCTATTTCCAGGGATGATTCATGCAGAGGACTCAAACCCTTCCACCCACCTTCCCCTTCTCCTCCATTGATGACAGCAGACCTGAAGTGTGTGGACCCCTATTTTTGGGACCTCAGTGAAGGGTCTAAAGTTAGCCGGGATGAATCTGGGCTGACAGAAGGGTCGTCTGTTACTACAGTATGTGAAGTCAGTCCTGCTTTAGCAGGGAGCCTCTGTTAAACGGGAATACTTTGGTCCTTTGTAGGAGCCGTACGGCCAGTGCCATCAGACAGCCAGGCTTCCACACAGCTTGTGCTCAACTCGAGGAGCCGGGCCCTGTCTGGTATAACTACCTTCTTGGGATCTGCTTTTTCCTCCATGGATTCAGCCTTTATCACTTGTTGTCATCAGGCTTTTTTCCACTTGAGGCCAAGGGAGTTTTGGTGGGGAGTCTGAAGGGTGCTCCTCTTTCTGGCTTTTTGACATACCCGAGTTATCTCAGGATGCAGAGGGCACCCACACAGGCACCTTACTCTACACACTCACCTAGCTCCTGTCCGTCGGGGCACATTTCTCTGAAGGACCTCCCAGTGACGGCCAATGCCAGTCCCAGCTGTTCCCCTCTCGGCAGCCCGCTCCAAAGCCCGTGGACATCAGCTTGAAGCCTCCTGCTGGGTTTTGGCCCATCCCAGGGGCATCTCAATGCCAGAAAACTTTCTACTGTCCAACAGGAACAGTTGTTTTCCTTGTTTTCATTTTAGTCCTCATTCCATCCTTTTCTGACATCCTAATTATTTGTCTCCATGTCAGGGCTTTGATTTATTAATTTGTTTTTACACTCTTCAGATACTTATCAGACCTCTTGCTCTCAACTGGTTTCTTAGACAAGCGTAGGAATATTTTGCTGTCTTGTTTGTTAGCGGTCAGTCTGGATCTCTCCATCATCCCAAATCCATGTGCTCGTCCTCTGCGCTCAGTAATTTGCTGATTCGCACATCAGGTCCAAATGGATTTGCTTTCACGTTGTCACTGAAGAGCAAGTATCAGGCCTTGGGTTTCTTTGGCATCCTCCACAGCTGGCAAGAACAAGCTACCCTCCTCCATCATATTTGCAAGGATTAAAAAAATCCAGAGTGTCTGGAGAAAGGAGGACTTCTGCACAGCCTCACTTACTACAACTTTACCTATTTGTGAAAGCTCTCAAACCTCTACCAGGATAGAAGAGCCCAGGGCACAAAGCAAAAGACAGCTAATGCTTGCACATTTAGAACAGCCTCAGCCTGGTTTTGCCATCCAGGAGTTTAACGCAGAGTTCCTGAGGTAGGGAAACACAGTGGCATCCTCCTCCAGACTTTGCTGTGCAAATTGGGTGGTGTGCGGCGGAGATCAGTGTCACACCAACGTCTCCTGCCTATCCAGAGGATGAGTAAGAAAAGATACAACGTGAGTGAGGGCACAGCTCTGTCCTTCCATGGGAAACACTTCCCTTTTGTTCCCCCTAGTAACGATCACTCTTGATGTCTATGTGGCAGGGTGACTCCTCACGCCCTGCCCATAAAGAATATTTTGCACCGCAGTGGGCACAAAAGCCCCTGAAACGTTTGGTTCCACTCGGCTACAGCTATCACCGTTAACGTGTGGCATCTCTTCCGCGAGCTGGAGGAGGAAGCCTTAGCTGTGAAGAGCTGCAAGGCCTCACCTTCCCTCCTTGGGACCCATCCTGGTACCCCTCTCCCTCCCCGGGAAGGTGCGTTCGAGCAAAGTACAGCCTTTTCCTGCATGTGCAGCAAGGTGAAACCAGGTTAGCAGCAAGTGCTGGCTGCTGTGGGCTTATTTCAGTAATTTTAGCTTTCCTAGCTTTACTTTAGGTACATTAAAGTAGATACCCTGGAGCATCAGATGCGTGATTCTGTCTGTCCAACCTCCTATCCCAATTTAATTTCCCTAAAGCAATTGATTCTTAAAAAACTTTTTGCTCAGTGCTGTTATGATTTTGTTGGCATAGAAATCAACCATTGTAGGAATTAATTGAGCAGTAAAATAATAGGAAATTTATTAACAGGTGAAATATTCGCAAGCAGTTTAATATCCTCATCATTAATTCAACATATAACCTCATGTAGATCCCTGCGGTGGAAATTGTGCTGTTAGTGTATAGAAGAGCGCTATTTCTAAGGCGTGCTGGGAGGTTTAATGCCTCCCCCATGCTTTATTGTATATCATTACAAGAAACACTTAGAATGTTTGTTGTTAAAAAATACCAGGGTTTTCCTGCCAATTCTGCCTGAAATCAGTTTCAGGCTTGCTCTTAGATGTGCAGGAACTTGTGAGCCCAGGGAAGGGAGTGAAGGACAAAAGCAAAGGGAGGAACCTTTGGTGAGTACGGCTGCTAAGCCTGCTGCATCCCTTTAAGACTCTGAGAGCATCTGCTTTCGGTATCCCTCGCTTCTCCCCGGAGTTACCTGATGTGACTTACACAGCCAGTGTCCGGCAGCAGCAAAGACCATCACGACGAGGACGCAGTCCCGTGGGGCCTGAGCGCAGCGAGCGGTGCCGAGGGCTGGCGATGGGGTCCACCAGCAGCTCCAGCAAGCTATGGACCAGGTCTAGGGTCCATCCTGGGGGGTCTCACCAGGAGGTGGGCTAGAAGCAAAGCCATGATGTGGGTCTGGGATCCGTCCAGAAGATACAGCTAAAGACAGGGTCACAGTGGCCTGCAACACAGATCCAAGGTCCATAGCTCTCTCCATCCAGGAGACAGAGCTGGGACATAACTGGGGCAGAGACTGAGGGGCCAGTGCTGAGCTTAAATGGGGCCCATGGCAGAGGGTCTGGGTCCCAGGTGAGGCTGCTCAGGGGGATTGAAGCCTCATGGGGCCCTCTTGGCCCTGAGAGCCAGAGCACCTATGGGTGACCCAGCACGTACCCAGCTTTCCATTAGCCTGTCGGGAGACGGCGGGTGGAGGGAACCAGAAACGGTTTTATCTCGGTGACAGTGGTCCCGCTCCAGGCAAGGAGTGCCTAAGAGGTGGCTCTGCCCCGCCATTCCCTGGCCACGCAGGGCTGTTCCTGAGATGTGGTGTGTCACCTTGGCAGTGCTGGGTTAATGGTTGGACTTGATGGTCTTAAGGGTCCTTTCCAACCTGAACGATTCTGTGATTCTGATATTCTACCTCTGTGCCATACCAGCAACGCTGGGGCTGGGGAGCTGTAAAGGCTTCACGGCCAACCTCAGTGCGGTTCGTGCTCAGCAGCAAAACACGCGGCACAGCTGGAAACCTCTGCTGTGTAAAGCACAATATCCTTATTGCAAACCTGCCAACCCTCCTCCTGCACCTCTGTGTGGTGTTCAGTGCTCGTTAACGTTACAGCAACCTTTGAAAAGGCAGCGCCGTCTCCAAAGTCCTGCAGTTCCATCTGTTCAGAGTTTATGACCCTTTTTTCCCCCCCCGTGTGCTGCATTCTGTGATTTAGCAAGAAGGAGGGCTAATGAGACTTGACTTCTCTGAAAGATCTACCCTCAATTTTCTCTTCTGCAGTTTTAATGAATTTGCAGTCTCTTGTAATATTTACCAAATGCCCTGTGGCTAACGTGACAGGGCCGGCCAGTACAGCAAACAAGATGCTCCCTGTGGTGCCACGTAGTAATGTAATGCTCCCCACGGCGGTAATTGGATGCGTGCTGTGCCCCTTAGCCCTGACAGAAATAATTTTCCCGAGCTGTTCTCTATCATCATTTCATCATCATTGTGCTTGTTCATTGTGTTCTGGTAGCGACCAGAACACCTCACCAGGAACCGGAGTCTTGTGCAAGGTGCGGGACCCACAGTATGAAGAAACTCTTTGTGCTCTGAAATGCTCAAAATACAAAATCGAAGTACAGCGATTCTTGTCCTTCTTCCTCAGACGGTACCATTAGTTGGTCTTCTAACAAACCCTTTCTGTATGGCAAAGAGAAAGCAATTAGGCTCCTGAAAGCCTTGTTTCATTAGAAGCATTATTAATTTGTGTCACAGATACAAGCACAAGACCTTTGCCAGAAGCGATGGAGTGTTGGTTTTCTTAATGGCTAATAAAGCAATAAACGCTGAAATGCATTAGTCTGAGGTGAGCGGCCAAGGACTAATGAGGATGCTTGAGAGGCAAGCGTCTCGAGAAAACATTAGCAAGGTCTGGCTGCGTTGACACCAAGCAGTTCAACATTTGGGGTCGCGCTCTGGTACGAGTGCTCTAGGTGATTCTGATGCCGTAACGTGAGCGTATCGTTACCCTGACAGATGCCGTATCTTGAGCTTGTTATGAGCAGCGTGACTGAGGATGTTGGTGGGATGAGCTTACAGGTTAAGAGGGTTTTGTGCTGGAGCTGTTTCCCCAAGGAGAGATGTTGGGCATCCTCCCTCGTCTTACTCCAACCACGCTGAGCAGACCTGGATCTGAGAAGCGATGGCTGCAGGCAGGGGGAGCCGATGCCACTTGCATCTCTTGCATTACAGTGGGAACACCCCCAGGTGTTGCCCTATGGCAAAGGGAAGCAGGCATCTCTCCGCCCGGACGTGTTCAAGTCGATCTGATCTCCGTGCAAGGCACAGGTCTGTCCCTGAGGGTCTTCCCATTGTTGGAGAGCTTATGCTGACAGCACTCAGGCCCTGCAGCCTTCTCCTGCTCCCTTTCCACCGCCCGTAGTACCCAAGAGAAATGGAGTGGGAAGGGCAGGGAGGTAACGCCATCCCAGCAGAGCTGCACAAGGGTGCTTAGCAAGGTCCAGAGTAGGTATCGCAGGTGCTCCAACACATTGCAGCCGAACCCCGTTAGCATGGATCCACATCCAGACTCCACTTTGACTCGCTTTTCCCACGCAGAGCTGCTGCCAAGGGCCTTTCACTCAGCTTGATGGAGCGTCTCATCGAGAGGTACGGGGAGAAGATTGTGAAGATGCTGACGGTGCAGTACCGGATGCACCAGGCCATCATGCAGTGGGCTTCCTTGGAGATGTACAGTGGCCGGCTCACTGCTCACCCATCAGTAGCCCAGCATTTGCTCAAGTAAGTGACTTGCTTCTCACTGGCATATGAGCAGAGATGTCATACCATCGCACACAGTGTTTGTCCCTTCCCTGTGATGAAGTTTTCCATTCCTCCTGGCCCTGCAATAGCGTTTCTGTTTCATCCTTTACTTCATCGAGGACACATTAACTGGGGGGAAGGGTTGACCTTTTTCCTGTGTAACAAGAAGCCACGCAGTTACCTTCTCTTTCTTCCTTTGGTATGATAAGCAATGAAATAAAATCCCCTTGCACCTGGTGAGGATATATGAAGGCCTGCCCTGCAGTGGGCATACCCCAAGCAGTGTTTCTCTCACAAGCTGTCCTCGGGGGTAGGAGCAGCCACCAGTTTTTACTGTGCTTCTGCACGTCTGTGCAATTACGAGGGCCAGTGTGTGTCCCGTCTTTGGTCCGAACGTTGACATCAGAAAGATCAGAAAGCAAGATTCCCTTTCCGGCTTGGTAGTTTTACTGTCAGGACAGCACCCGAGGCAGGTCTGATGGCATCGGATCCATTCCTCGTCTGCAGCAGTTTCTCTTTTCTTTGATAATTTAAAGGAAGTGACTAGCGTTTCATTTCCGTTGCACGCTGGGACAGGCAGTTGTTTGCCAACACACGCTGTGACTGTCAATAATTGCTGCTTTTTAAAATTGCAGTCAGTGCAGTTCTGGGAGGTGGATGGGAAAACATTAATTCTCTCTGTTGGACTTGGAGAAGCATAAAATATCACAGTGCTTCTCTGTGTGGTGCTCTTGTATTTTTATAAATACTTGGTTTTAAATGCAAATATTTAGGAGTTGAAAAAAGTAAAATTCCCCTAGAATCTCTCCATTTCATCATAGATCCAGTTTTGGACAGAGATAGCTGGAGAAGCCATTTTATCCTACTTGTTTCAAAATAACCTTACTTGTGAACAGCATGAATAATGCTACCTGGATGGGAAGAGCAAGCTGTGTGTTGGAGGCAGCCCCGGCGCCCTCATCTACGTCTGCTGCAGCCAGCACAGGGACTTCTGCTTGGGTCAGCATGCTCTGAATTAAGGCTTCAGGGCTGTCAAGGCTTCAGCTCAACTTACAGCAGTGAAGCTATGCTGACTATATTGGTTTATATACATTTGTGTGTACGGATGCAATTTTATGGGCGAGTGCGGTGGGTTCTATAGGTAGGAGCCAGCAAGGCTGGTTCCTCAGTGCCAGCAGGACCTCAGCTGAGATGGACAGGACTCATTCAGCAATGTTTTAGCTGTACGGATCTAATTCCCAGATCGGTGCTGTACAAACGCCTCTTCTTGATTGTTCTTGTTCCTTGCCATGTTTTTCTTACCATTTAACTTTGCAAATTAAAAATAGCAACTAGTGAAGAACCCCAGGCAAAATGGTTTGAAACCATTTAAAAAGGAAATCAATTGAAAAGTTGAAGTTATGCGACTTTGTTATTCTGGTGAGCTGGTTTATTTTTCTAGCTGATGAAGGAGCAAATGTTTTTCTTTCCAGTCCCCTGCTTTGGGCTTTTTCTTGCAGACACTGGTGTCTAAACCCGTAATTAAATCTGCCAGTCCACAGCCCTCCTGTCATATCGCATGAGGATGGCAATCCTCAGTTCAGGCACTGGACCGTGTAAAGTTCCTGTGCGTCTGCAGAAGACCAGGTAATGCAGGGGCTTGATATTGGACCGGGATCTTCTCATGTTTAGGCTGATAGTACAAATTCCTTCATGCTATTTGTGAGCATCCCATGTCTTTTGTTGGCTTAGGCCAAATGATTTGCTTAATCCCTTACCTGTGCAAGAAGTAAGTTAGCTTTGGTCTCTGATAGCTGTAGGAAAAGCTCTCTTACAGGCAGAAGCAGCCTAGGGAAGCGGGAGGCTGGCGAGTGCCCGCAGGAGTTACCTGCTCGCACTGGAAAGCGGCCAAAGCCTGGGCATTTGACAAACTGTGGGTCTGCAGCTTTTTGTTACCTCCTTCCTAAGGGCTGGTGGGTGACAAATCTGAAGAGTCCCAGAGCACAGCGCGAGGAGGGGGATCTCCATCTCTGCTGAAAGTGTTCTGATGTCTTTGAAGAAAGATCTGCCTGGAGTGATCCAGACCGTCACCCGCCACACCTCTGGCATTGGCAAAGCCAGCCCACGCGACTCAACTCTAGCCTTGAATTTACAACGGCCTCGGTGCCGTTTGGAGAGGTGAAGCGCGAAAAAAAAACGTGTGCCAGTCTTGAAACATACAGCTGGAGGTGGTCAAGGCGCAAACACCTCATGCTACAAATTGTGACAGGGAGTTTTTGGTGCAGCTGAACTTGTAAAGCCTGATTCCTGTGGGCTTTCTTCAGAACGACTCCCCAGGGTGCAATCCCCACCCAATGTCTGACAGCATGGCTGGACTCCCACCATGGCCTTTCCCTGAGCAGCGTTGTTGATCCAAGTCTCATCTCCTCTACCTGAAGCACAAAGACTGGTCCTTGGAAGAAGTGCATTTCTGTCCAGACGACTTCACGTTTCCGTACCGACTTTTGTTCTGACATTGGAGCACTCAGGAACGCTTGGTCTGTGATATGTTAGTGATTCCTGCAGCACCATCTTTTCTCTAAAAAAAGGAGTCTTCGGTTTTCTGCAGTATCTTTTCAGGGGCAGAGTATTTCCAAGGGAGCAAAACCTTCTTCCCAATGTTCAGCCATCCCCAGGAAAGCAGGGCTCTGTCGCGTGTAATGGTGACTTGGGAAGACAAACACCATCACTCTGAACATCCCCCGCTTCCTCTTCCCCCACCTGTACATGCTGAGCATGACGTCATATGGTACGGAATATCTCTTTGGTCATTGGGGTCAGCTGTCCCGGCTGTGCCCCCCCCCCAACTCCTTGTGCACCCCCAGCTACTCGCTGGTGGAGGGTGCGAGGAGCAGAAAGCCCTTGGCTCTGTGTAAGCACTGCTCAGCAGGAACAGTAACACCCCTGTGTTATCAGCACTGTTTGCAGCACAAACCCAAAACCCAGCCCCACACCAGCTACTCTGAAGAAAATTAACTCTACGCCAGCCAAGCCCAGCACAGATGTACAGCAACGTGTCGCTGTTTCAGAGCTCTCCTGCCACCTCCAGGCTTTCCATTCCTGCCGTCTATCGCCCATCCTCTTCCTAGGCTGTGGATTCAGCTAGCAATTTCCCTGAGTATTAAAATATGGTTTATTAATTTATTTTTTTTTTAATGCAGCAGCTTTAGATGTAGAAATGACGTGAAACCCCAATTCCTCTGTGGTTCCTTGTGCTGCGCTTTCTTCTCTTGCCCAACAGCACTGCTGTCAAATCTCTGGTAATCCTTCAGGCACTCCTCCCTCTCAACACCGTAAAAAACAAGCAGCAGCTCCCACCTTTCCCTGGGTCTGCATATCCTTCCTGCTTGAGACCATTTAAGCGAGACACTAACACCCCCACGCTGTACCCTTGCCTGGCAGTACCTGGGCTGTGTAGCATAGCTGGTGAGAAAGCTCCCAGTGCTGCTGGCTGGCCCCTCTGGGACTCTCCGGGGCCCTCAGCTCTTCGTTTGCCTTTTGGGAGAGCATTTAAGTGGCAATCCCATGGTGCAGAGCAATAATGGCTTTTCAGCTACAGCTTTCTGGCGTTGCCAAACTCCCCCCGGGCCTCTCGGGACTTGCTGTGCCGCTGGTTGTGGCTGCCATCCTGGCGCTGAACCCCAGAAGCCGGAGCTGAAAGCCGGAGGCCCCCGCCAGAGCTACAGGGCCCTGAGTTACTGCTCCACGTGACGTGCTCTTCAGTAGCATCACTGCAGATGCACAGAGGGCCAAAGCTTGGTGGAGCAGAACGGGGAACCTCAGTTCTCAGTTTCTGCCATTCTTCCCTCCGTCCAGAGCCAGCCCTCCTGCTGTCAGCCTGTCGCCTTGTCCCTCGGAAGCAATAGCCAGCTTTGTTTTCCCTCTGTCCTTGCAGTGTTGTTGGGAGGAGTAAGCAACAACACAACTGCTCATCCATTTGGTGTAATTTCGGTGTTGTTAACTGTCCCTTTCCCAAACACCTTGTACAGGGACCTGCCGGGCGTCACCTCTACAGAAGAGACCACGATTCCCTTATTGCTTATAGACACTGCTGGCTGTGGCCTGTTTGAGCTGGAAGTGGAAGATGAACAGTCTAAGGGGAATCCAGGTACTGTTGTTCAGAAAAAAATCTTGGCCAGAATTGATTGTCAGAAGTCCTCAGCCTCCCGTGGGCTTGGCCACTGCGCCAGCTGAGTTGCGTCCCAGAGATGTGCCCCCACCAGAGCAGGTAGCAGGGGGAAGGTGGGTTCCCCAGTGAGCCGTGTCTACTTGAGAGATCATTTCCTCTGTAAATCCTCAAGCCCAGAGGGCTCTGAGCCAGAGCGGAGTGGCCACAGGGCCGTGATGACAGTGTGCGGCTTGTGGGTGGCCACGCTGGCTGCCTTGGTCCCTTGCAGAGATGTTTCTCCATGCTGTGGACAAGGACAGGTTGGAGGATCCCTGTGATAGATGCTTTTCACAAGTTGACAGTGCAAACAATACCAGACAGAGCGCAAGCCTGCTTTACAGAGGCTGTAGACGTGGCTCAGAATTGCCTCCCAGTCCTCTGCTCCTTTCATGAAGTCCTGTGTGGCTCTTCTCCACGAATTTTCTTAAGACGTTGAGTTTCCTACTGTTTTTTGACTTAAAAAATAGATTTCATTACGGAGATTGAATATAAAGTCAGGCGCCATAGCCATTCTAATAAAGTGGGAGACCTTAGAAAATGGTGATAGACTCCTTTCTGTCCTTGCTTCCGCAGCAGGGTGGGTGGTGGTGATTTGCTGTTGAAGGATGCTGCTCGTGCTCCTCTAGATTGAGTGTGGCACCTCCACACCTGCTAGCTGGCTCATAGCAGGCTCAAGAGGGCAAAAGCAGGCTCAAGAGGGCCTTTGCCAGGGCACGTGGCATATGGGCTGTCCAAAATCTGGTGCTTCATCTGACGAGCCACAGATCCCAGCCCTGTTATGGAGATAGCTCTGCTCAAAGCGTTAGGGAGAGCTTTTAGCCCAGAGAGCCGTTGACAAAAGGATTGCTGGGAGGGCACAGTGAGCCTTGGCTTTGGGGAAGGTGAGGTTTTTCCTTCACGACAAAATCTTCCCCTAGACTGTAAATTCCCTGCCCAGATTGGCTCTGCAGTGCCCGGAGGGGACCAATCTCCCTGTGCGATGCCTGCACCCTGCCACCTCACCCGCAGTTGCCCCTGCCTGCCTGCCTGCTGCCTGCACTTTTCCTGGTGGCCAAGCCACAGGCTTTTCTAGCCCTTCGCTCTCACGTGGCCAAAGAGCTTGTTTGCCAACGTGGTTGCCTGCTTCAGGGATTCATTTGTTTTCCTCTCTGCTCACCAGTGCAGATCTCATGCCAGCAACAGATTTCTGAGGCTTCAAGTCCCTCTCTGGTAAGGCAGGGAAAACAGACCGTAAAATACAAGGACAGTTCTTACCAGTTTAAATATCTTTTGCCTTCTTTTGTTTGAAAACCCACCAGCATTTACGTGGCTCTCATTTTTCTATGCACCAGTCCCTGTGGCCCTGCTAAAAAAAAAAAGGCTCTTGTCCCCACATGGAGAGCCAGAAAGACTTGTCCGAGATAATCCCCTACTCAAAATCCCTGAGTTAGGTGCACATCTCCCAGAATTTGGGAGGCAGCCTTTTGGAGCAGCATACCACAGATTCTGGATTTTTATACCTGTGTTTTGCTGGAAAACAGAGGGGAAAGTCAGTCCAGCCAGCAGACCAGTGAAATAGTTCACATTTGTATTTAACTTGTCCTCATTAGATCTCTGTGAGCCAGCCACCATCCCAAATAGCCAGTTGTTTGCGGCAGGCTGCCTGCAGTCTCCAGAAGGTCTGAGCGCACGGATCCGAGCATGAGGCTTGCTTATTTGGTCATGGCGGTTTGGAAATGGGGGGCTTGAAAAAGCAGAATAGAAAGGAAAGGTGGAGGTTTTTTTCAGTTGCAGAATAATCTGTTGCCTGGGTTATCATCGATCTCTTGGATTGATATGGGAAGGCCAGAGGAAGCCAAGTTCTGTCCCATCACCGCCCCTTCTGCTCTCTGCCCTAGGGGAGGTGGAGCTGGCTGGTTTGCACATCCAAGCCTTGGTGGAAGCTGGTGTGAAGGCACAAGACATCGCTGTCGTAGCCCCCTACAACCTCCAGGTGAGATGACGCTCTCCTCGCACCTCCTCTCTCTTTCCGCACGCACGCAGAGCAAATGCACAGAGGTGGATCCGAACCTTGACATCTTCAAGGAGTGATACCAGAACATCCTCAGAGAGACGAAGGTGGAAGTCAGCAGAGCCATGCTGTACAATCAGCATTTGTGGCCAACTTCCCCACATTGAAGGAGCTTGAGGCCATGGAGGGAAGAGATGTTAGATGGGTATTTTCTGCTCCCAGCCTCAGGAGTCAGGGCTTGACCTTCGGGGGATGTGAGCGCTCATCCTTGTGGGTTTGCGAGGAAGGGACTTCACCAAAACAGTGCCATTTTCATCCTTTTCACCTTGCGCTTTTCTTTAAAAGGTATCTATTGCCTGTTTTTCAGGTGGACATGCTAAGAGAGCACCTTTACCACAGGTACCCAGAACTGGAAATTAAATCAGTGGATGGTTTCCAAGGAAGAGAGAAAGAGGCGGTGATCCTGTCATTTGTGAGGTCCAACAGGAAAGGTGAGAGTTTGCTGCTGAAGAGTCACTCCCTGGGGAACGGGGAAGAAATGGGAACTGTGCGAGTCCTCCAGGGTCGCTCGTCATGCTGCCAAGGGCTGTGGTTTAATTGCAGTTCTGACAGCCTCTAGCACTTTGCTCTGAATGAATTTACTGGCAAGAACCTTCTTTTTCGGCCTTTTTTTTTTTTTTTTTAATGAACAAATATATTTGCTGTCACGGTTGCAGAGGAAGGCTCCAACGCAAGGCAGCAGGTAAAAAGGAAGCCAGGACTGCTTCGTTTGAGGGTTTCCTGGCTATTGAGGGCTCAGAAATTATTTAAACAGGGGTCCTAAGAATGGCATGTGTCATGTTAGCACCACATTTACTGAAAGCCAAGCACTTCCGACGCAAGGTCGAAATCGGGGGAGAGGCCAAGGTGGGGGGGGGGGGCTTATTTCCTCAGTTTGGAGCCTATTTTGGGTCACTTCCCCAAAAAAAAGCAATCAGGAGCTGGCATGACAAGTCATGCACAGAAAATGCTTCTTTTGGGAGCAAAATCTAGAGCGGAAAATTGAGTTCTTTCCTATCAGCAGCTGCAGCGAAAGTTGATAGCTGGAAAAAAGCTGCTGCCCTGGAGCCATGAGGCTCCTTCAGCAGAGCCATCGGCCCGTGCTGAAGGGTTTTGTAGCAGCCAGCTCGAGCAGAGGGCACGAGTGGGACCACTCCGCGAACCACCTCTCTGCTGCGCGTGGATCGCTGCCCTTTTCAAACCCGCGGTGAGACACGTCCCTTGCTGCACTGCCTTTGCTGCTAGTGCTGCTGACGGTGAGACGCTGTGCATGTGCTGGGAGTGCTGATGTCTGGAAGGGGAAAAAAGGGGAAGGATGCATGGAAGGAGGAGTCTTTTTTTTTTTTAAGAAAGCCTAGAGCAGGAAAAGCAGCGTTGGGGGAGAATGGAGGTGGGGGACGGGACTAAGAATAGTCCTTATTCATGAGTGACTCACCTCGCCTTTGCTCAGTGGGAGCTGGTGTCCTCCATAAGGCGTGCGTCCCCCGGCCCCCTTCCCGTGCACAGCTAGCAGCCAGAGCTCAGGCACGGTGCAGGAGTCGCTCGCTTTCCAGGGGGGCACGAGGCAGCTTCCCACAGTGTCTGGGCACAGCTCTGGTCTGCGTGGGGCACAAGAGATGTTAGGGCTCTCTGAGACTCTTGGGAGCAATCCATACCCGTTTTGCAGCTGCATTTCTGGCTCAGAGGAAGCCAGGGACCTTGACAAGCAGTGCCTGTCTCTCTGCAGCCATTCCCCATCCAGCAGGAGACCCTCTTGCTGGATCAGAAGAGTTGGAGTTGCCCCCGCAGTCAGGCAAAACCACATCAGAGAAACTGGCAATCATTCTCTAAGCTGCAGAGCACAGAGAGGGGATCACCCTGTTCCTCAAAGGCAGCACAAACTAGACTGCTCAGCCACAGCAAGGCAAGGCAGACACAGAGCCAGGCTGGTCACCGCACCGGCAGAGACATTAATTTCTTCCCGACTGGCCTCCTCTTTATCCCCAGGAGCTGGAAACTCAAGAGCCGCCCACGCTACCCTTCTTGCTAGCTGATCCTCACTGAGTCATCTTGGCATTTGCTAGCTCTTACTGCTTTTCTTTGAGAAAATAGCCAGAGAGCAGAAGCAAACCTTGCAGAGTTGCCCAAATGGCTGGTACTTTAAACCCGGCAAGAGTTTGGGGGCAGGCGGGGGGAGTCGTACAGGGCTGGGTGTATTTCTTTACCGGCGGTTCCTCTTAAGCCTGTTCCACATTGCTCCGTATTGCGTTTGCTCCCCGGCCCCGGCCCCAGCCCGATCTTGTGTCGTGAGCCACCCAGGAAAATATTTCTCCTCTCCACGTGCCATCCGTCCTCCTCTCGATGCAGGGAGCCCTAGCTCTGGCTTGCGGGTGGTGAAAGATGAAGGTAACAGCGTGAGTCAGGGACCAGAGCCCAGTAAACGCTGACTCCGACCCTTCAGCCAAGCAACCCTTCAGTCATTTGGGCCAAATCTAGACCTGGAGCCACCGCTGCGCCCACTGCCAGTCCTGAGCCCCTTGGTTTCTTTCTCACAGGTGAGGTGGGCTTTCTTGCAGAAGACCGGCGGATAAACGTAGCGGTGACCCGTGCCCGGCGCCATGTGGCTGGCATCTGCGACACCCGCACCGTCAGCAACCAAGCCTTTCTGAAGCGGCTGGTGGATTATTTCAGCCAGCACGGGGAGGTGCGCACAGCCTTCGAGTACCTCGACAACCTCGTGCCCGAAAACTACACACAGGAGGGCCGCAGCGAGCGACAAGGTGCAAAGCTCCCCGCAGCACCTGGCCCCAAACCGCAGCTGCCTCCGGGGAGGAAACTCAAAGCAGCAGCGACCAAACCAGCGTGTCCGAAGCCAGAAGCGTGTTTCTCCCCAAACACAAGCGGACCTGGGGGACAGAGCCCGGGGACAAAAGACGGTGCCGACAGATTCAAGGCCATGCTGGTGGCCTTCCTGGAGAGCAGCGAGCTGCAGTTGGATTTCCCCCCGTCCCTCAGTTCCCACGATCGGATGCTGGTTCACCTAATGGCAGAGGAACACGGGCTGCAGCACGTGAGCACCGGGGAAGGGAGGAACCGGTACATCAGCGTTCGCAAGAAAGAGCCCGCTGAGCCTTCGCTACCCGCAGCCGCCCCCCCTAGCAAGGAGCTCCCCCTTCCTCAGCCGCAACGTCCCAGCAGGGAAACTCCTGTCCCTGCTGAGCCAGGAGGAAGCAGCAAGGGCTCAGGGAAAGTGGACCTGAAAACCCTGCACCTGGAGAGAGTTCAGAGGGAGAAAGCCAGACGGGAGGAGGCCAGTGCCGGCCCTCAGGGCAGCAGCAGGAAAAAAGACAAAAGCGAAGCCAAAGGTAGGTCACTGTCGTCATAACCAGCACAATTAATGGTCTTCCTTGAATGGACCGTGCTATTTAATCCCCGTGGTTTTGCCTCCAGGCCTTGGGATTTGTCTGCATGCACGGAGCACGGGATGTGGCTCTTGGGAAGCTCTCTGATGCTTGTCACTGCAGAGATGTGAGAACTGGCAGGAGCGTGCATCAGTTGGCTGCAGCATCTGGGGAGAGGGGTTGTGGATGCCTGGAGGCACATTTCTTAAGTTGAAAGAAAACCACTGGGGACCCTTTCCCAGGAAGAGAGACTCGGGAGTTAGATTGGAGGCTCCCAAGTGTAGGAAGAGGAACAAAGAGGAGTACCTGGCCCACACTGAAGGACGTGGCCGCCTCCTAGATGCAGAGGCAGGGGAAAACAGAGCCGGGAGCTGCCGTCTTCCCTGCCAGACGTGGTCCTTTCCTCTTCCCCAGCCCCCTTTTAGCAGAGGGAGGCACCCAGGCACGCTGCAGGGGAGGAGCTTGAGCTCCTAACTAGCACCTTGGAACACAGGCCAGGGTTTACCGGCACGATGGGTCTCATGGCGGCTGAAATCCCAGTCGCTGCAAACAGTAACTCCCCAGCCCCGTGCTGCTCGGGTTTGTTCTGAAGTGGTTAAATGGCTGGGTCTCTTCCCTTGTCTTCTCCTCAGGAAAGCCAGCAGTTAAGAGCGGAGCAGGCAAGGCAGCAGAAGAAGATATCGACGCTCTGATTTCTGCTGCCATTAAAGCTGACAACACCTGCGGCTTCCCTCGCTGCAAAGCCAGCGTTAGAACCCTGGGACAGCTTTGCCTCCACTGCAACAGGCAGTACTGCCTCAGCCATCACATCCCGGAGGTACTCGTGGGGCTGGGCAGCCTGCCCAGGGGTTTGAGCACTCAGGGGGCTGCAGAGGAGTAGGATGTGCCAAGCAGCGTGGGTTTAACATGGGAATTTTCCCTGTCGAGCTCCCCAGGCAGGATTTCCTTGCAAGGAATTTAAAGCAGAACCTTCTCTGTCAGAGCTTTTGCTCAAGCTGCTGGTAGAAAGGGCTGCCAGGTGTTAACACGTGGGCTCTGCACGCCTCCTGAGAGCTTTTTCTTTTCCTGCCTGCCTTTGTGCCCTTTTTTTCCATTCTCTGGCGTTTAAACTCCTGGGTCGTGCAGACAAAGCAAGGCAGAGAGGAGAAGTGAAGAGGCTTGGGCTTAAGGCAGTGACTTGAGGGAGCCTGGACACTCGATTCCCAGCTCTCTGCAGATTCCCTCTGCAGCCAGGGGACAGGTCGAGGGTTGATCCTGCATGGAGCGGTGCTGCATGCCTGGTTGGCAGCTGGGCATTTCCTTATGTGTGTGCCTTGTGTGGCTTGGAGCTGAGATGCTCCACGCTGTGCAGCCTCAGCTTTAGCTCCCATCCCTGAGTGACGGCCGTCCCTCGGCCAAATCTGCTCTGCTTTCTTGCACTGGAGGACTCTTGAGCAGGCATCTCAGCAGCGCTGTAACGTCCTGCACCTCCCTGGGAGTGGTAGCGTGACGGCCGCTGAACCCACACAGCTTCTCCCTTGCTGCTGTTCTGCAGCTGCTCAGCAGCCCTGTCCTCCCCAGATCTGGGAAGGAAGGAAACGAAGGTTAAACTGTGTCAAGCTTCATCAGTCTGATCGGGTGCAGAGGCAGGCAGGTGAGTTTAAGCCTCCAGGGTTGGCAGCGTGATGCTTCATGGAGAGCTGGCCTCAGGGTTTGAGTCCTGCGGGCAGAGCTGACCTGGCTGGGTGGTGGCTGTGACGAGTACGCGGGCTGAGAAGTGACGATTTTCCGTTTAGCCGCAGCCTTCTGTGCCCATTGTCCCTCAGCCCAGCCATAGCTCTGTGCCACGCGGAGCCTCCCAGAGCTTAGCAGTGTTTAGCGAGCTGACCTATAAATCCTCAGCATAGATTTTCCCCTTGTCAAGTATTATCTGTTTCCATGGCAAAGAATAGTTGTATTTATGGTCATTCACAATCCAGTTGGGATATAAATTTATTTCCTGCAGAATCACCTCTCCCTGCTGAATTGTAATGAGAACTCCAATGAGAAACAATCAGAAGGATAAAATCCACGTCAACAAGTTTTTCTTGCTCTTTAAAGTTGAACCCTTTCTCCAGACGTGGTGGAATAGCCTGGGACCTCTACTCCTGCCTGGCCCTAAGAGGGGCAGCACGTACCTGGAGCCCCTCAGAGGGGCTGGAGCCTCTGCGTGGGGAAGGTCCCCGTTCAGGAAGAGCAG